GCATCACCATCATCGTCAGCAGCATCAGCACCATCTTCATCGTCGTCGCCGCCAGCATCGTCACCATCAGCATCATAATCACCATCAGCATCAGCATCACCGCAATCAGCATCATCATCATCAGCATCATCATCATCAGCATCATCATCAGCAGCCTCATCACCGGCGTCATCAGCATCAGCATCATCATCATGATCATCGTCCGCACCATCATGTGGCCACGAAGCGCGTGGGGAGGTCTGGTGTCGCCGCCATGCGGACGGCGCCACTGGGGCCGTATGTGGAGCCCCGTGTGGGGCCACGACGCGTGTGAGGGGCGCGCCGAAATGGTGCGCCGCCGCCATGCGGACGGCGCCGCTGGGACACTATGTGGAGCCCCCTACGGGGCAACATAACGTGTGTGTGGCGCGCCGAAATGCAGCGGCGCTGCCATGCTGGCGGCGCCACTGAGACCTGAGCTGGGGCTCCCTATGGGGCCGCGAAGCGTGTGACGTGTGTGCCAACATAGTCGCCGATGGTGGTGACGATAACGGCGATGATGATTCCGATGGTGGTGATGGTGACGATGCTGGTGATGATGACGACCATGGTGATGTTGATGATGGTGATGTTGATGATGATGCTGCTGATGAGGATGGCGATGAGGACGACGACGTTTGATGACGCTGATGATGACTATGATGACGCTGGTGATTACATGGTGATGGTGATGATGCTGATTATGATGCTGCTGACGATGGTGATGCGGATGATGATGATGATGATGCTGATGATGATGATGAGGAGGAGGAGGAGGAGGAGGAGGAGGAGGATGAGGATGATAAGGATGATGAGGATGATGAGGATGATGATGATGAGGATGATGAGGATGAGGATGATGAGGATGATGATGCTGGTATTGCTGGTGGTGATGGTGATGTTGCAGATGATGGCGATGATGATGGATGGGCAACATGAGGAATGGAGGGAGGGAGGATGGGAACAGGAGAGGAGAGGCGAGGAGAGGAGGGAAGAGGAGACGAAGGAGACGCGGGGCGCTTTTTCTTCAAAACGAGGACTCAACACCACGTGACGGTTGGACACAAGAAGAGGAGGAGAGGTGGATGAGGGGGGATACACAAATGAGGCCGAGGCTGAGCACGATGGGGGGACGAGCATGAGAACGATAACCATGAAGAGGAAACGATGAGGACGAGGAAGACGAGGAGCAAGATGAGGACGAGGACGAGGAAGAGGAATATGAGGAGGATGAGGAGGACGAGGAGAAGGATGAGTAGGGCGGCCTCCGCGGGCTCGCCCTCGCTGCCGTCGGCGGGCGCCGCCTGAGCCTTGCGCTTGGCCCTGCCCCTGCCCTTGCCCCTGCTCTTGCCATTGGACTTCTCCGCGCCGTCCGCCTTCCTGTCGCCGCCAGCCTTCATGTCGCCGCCAGCCTTCATGTCGCAGTCCTTGTCGCCGCTGGCCTTCTTGGCGCCGCCCTTCCTGCCGCTGGCCTTCTTGTCGCTCGACTGGTTGTCGCCCTTGTCGCCGCTAGCCTTCGCGTCGCCGTCCTTGTCGCCGCTGGCCTTCTTGTCGCTCATGTGGTTGTCGCCCTTGTCGCCGCTAGCCTTCGCGTCGCCGTCCTTGTCGATGCTGGCCTTCTTGTCGCTCGACTTGTCGCCGCCCTTGTCGCCGCTGACCGTCGCGTCGCCGTCTTTGTCGCCGCTGGCCTTCTTGTCGCTCGCCTTGTCGCCGCTGGCCTTCTTGTCGCTCGACGTGTCGCCGCCCTTGTCGCCGCTAGCCTTCGCGTCGGGCGTGTCCTCGGCGTTCTTCTTCTTGCGGACGTGCGGGCCCTTCACGTCGGCGTGCTTGATCGGCGCCAGCCACCTGTCTCCGTCCTCCCACGCGAACACCGCCATGCCGTTGGGAGTGGGAAGCGACGACCTGGCTGGGCGCCCGTCCTCAGTCCTGGAGGCCCAGCCCTTGTCAATCACGTAGTCGACAGGTGCATCACCATGGCCGTCCATCTTGGCATAGCCCTCGGCGTCGCTGATGGAGGTCCCCTCGTCGTCGGGCTCGTCGTCGGTCAGCGGGGGCGGCGCGCCGTCGTTGCCAGCAGCAGCGTCTGCACCTTCGGGCAGCAATATACGCAATTACACGACTTCGGACCTAGCCCCCCAACTCTCGGCCCCTAGACCGCCACCCCACCGCCCCGAGCTCAGCCCGAGGAGGCCCGAGGCCTAATAAGGTCGACGGTCTGATGGTCGAACATCGGTCTAGGGTGGAAGTTCGAAGGCCCAGGAGCTAGGCCCGAGGTCGAAGGACGGAGGGCCGAGGTTCGACACTCGGAGGTCGACACTCGGAGGTTCGACACTCGGGATCGGTGATCTAGCTCCTCGAGCTTCGGTCCTCGTCCAACGACCCTCGTTCCTCGAACTTCGATCGTCGCACCTCGGCCGTCGGACCTCGCTCTCCGACTACGCGCCGTCGGCCGCAGTCGGAGAGTGACATTCCACGGCCCAGG